CTCCTTGCTCTCACCTGTTACGGAGCAATGTCCTGTGGTCAGAAGTGCAGTACGAAGGCGCCTGGGTGGCTCAGTCGGTTGAGCATCTGCCTCCAGCTTAAGTCATGATCTCAGGGTCCTGGGATCGAGTCCCGCATCGGGCTCCCTGCTCAGCAGGGAGCCTGCTTCTCCCTCTCCCTCTGCCTCTCCACCCCCCACTCATGCTCGCTCTCTCTCAAATAAGTAAATAAAATCTTTTTAAAAAATGAAAGATTCAACTCCTCAGTTGCGACTGCTGTATTCAGATGCTCAGTAGCCACGTGCAGCTAGGCTGGACGGTGTAAATCGAGAACATTCCCGTCATCACAGGAAAGTATCAGACAGTGCCAGACCACAGAATCCACTGAACAATTAACACGAACAAGGGCTCGGACAGAAATCGCTCAAACCAGATAGAAATAAATATGCAAAAAACATACAGCTTCCCAGCAAGAGCCAGCTGGAAAAATATAATGAAGATTATCCACAACAGAGAAAAAAAAATAAGTGAGCAAAAATCAGCAATAAATATGCAAAAGCCTCATGGAGAAAACCACAAAACTGTCCTAGGAACACAAAAACCGCCCTGAACAAATGGAGAGAGACCTTGCTCCCAGATACACTCTGTACCTTAAACTTCGCTCTGCCCAGCCCGGTATCGCTGGTGGACCCGCCCCCCCAGTAAATTCCTTCAGCACTTGATGAACTGATTCTAGAGATCCTATGGAACCATGAGTCTGCCCAGGGGCCCGCAAACCGGCCAACCCCTTGTTTCTGCAAATGAAGTTTTGTGGGACACGGCCGTGCTCATTCACTGATGTGTTGTCCACACCTGTCCTGCTGGGCAGAATTAAGTACGGGGAACGGAGGCTGTTTACCTAAGTTGGCTGATGCCGGGCTGGAATGTCAGCCGCGGAGGGACAGCTTCCCTCCAGCACCATGTGTCCATGACTGTTTGAGGGAAGTGGGGAGGGACGGATGGGCGATCGATGCCAAAAGGGTAAATGTGCAACCAGCTGAAGAAGTCTTGACAAAGAATAAAATTGGGAACAAGGGCCTCAGCAGTTCTCAAAACATACCGGAAAGCCAGAGTCATCAAAAAATGTTCTTGTAGCAGAACACGGATCGATGCCAGGAGAGACCCCAGAAGGCCCGTTCCGCTCGCTGGCCTTCTCTGCTACATCCTCCCAGACGGACGAGCTCGGGCGTCTGAGATACTGACCGCAGCAGCGCCTGGCTCGCACGCAAGGGCCGCCCTACCCTGAGCCCCGCAGCACGTCCGCAGAGCCCGCCCGGCAAGGGAGCGCAGACATCTGATTCGGGCAGGTCGGTGCCCTGCAGTTACTGAGCACCTACTGCATGCCGGGCCTTCTCCTGGGGCTCCGAAGGCAGCAGGGAAGGAGAGGAGCAAGCCCATGACCACCACCATGCGGGTGCCCGTCATCGGGAGCTTAGAGGGAAAAGCGTACAGGGTGAAGGCCAGGCAGAGCCTCGGGACCAGGGGCCAGGGCCCGCTCCTCAGCCTACACGATGCCCGCCCTCCTGCCCCACAGCCCAGGTCAGCCTGTGCCCGGAGCCCATGCCCGCCCGGGGGGAGGGTCGCGGGGGGGTTCGCACGAGCCCCCACTTTTTGGAGGCGGCCTCAGCCACACTGGTTCCCATGTCCTGGCGCTAACCCCTCTCTGCCCCAGGACACCACCTGGTCACCTCCTTCCCAGCGCCCCTAGCATGTGGCAACATCTCCACCTTTCCTTGTTTCTCGTGACCTGACAGCCTCCAGGACGCCCGGCCAGGTGTCCCGCAGCGTGTCCCTGATCTGGGCTTGTCAGCTGCTTTCCTGCGATCAGTCTGGAGATCTCGGTTTCCCACGACTGCTCTAACAAGGCACCACATGCCAGGCGACTCCCGACAACAGGATTTCATCCTCTCCCAGTCCTGGAGGCCAGAAGCCCCAGATGGAGGTGCGGCAGGGCCCTCGGGAGGCTCCGGGGGAGGCTCCTACCTGCCTCTTCCAGCTCCACGGGGCCCCAGGGGTCCCCTGGCCTCTGGCCACAGCACTCCAGTGCCTGACTCCATGCTCATCAAGGGGCTTCTCCTCTGTCTCTCCTCTGTGTCTCTTAGGAGGACACTTGTCATCGGGTTTAGAGCCCACCAGATAATCCAGGATGATCTCACCCTGAACTTAATCACATCTGCAAAGACCCTTTTCCAAATAAGGTCCCACTCACAGGTACGAGGGACTGGGATGAAGACACACCTTTTGGGGGGCCACCACTCAACCCAAGGCACTGGGGTTATGGGTTTGGGGAAGAACTACAGAGGCGAGGTACCCTTCTGGTCCCGTCCCATCAGGGGTCCCTGACAGGCCACTCTACATCACTCTGAAGTTGACCGTGACCCCTGGCCCAGGTGGGGTGTGCCAGGTTTCCCCACGGTCAGGTTACCATCACTTCCTGGGGTCTGGGCCCAGGCAGGGAGCACCTGTATGCACCATCGGGGCTCTGGGGTACGGAGCCTCACCTCCTCCACGCTCCGCACTCGGATTCAGCCTCTCCTCCTACCACGGCCTCTAGACTTGCCTACCTCACGCCCTGGATGATGTCCCCACCTTTATTTAAGCTCACCCTGGACCACTGTGATAAGCACTTGGTTGGGTCACCAAGTCAATCCTCCCAGAAGTCCTGGGGTGGAGGCATCCGAGTGGTCAGTCCCAGTTCACAGGTGGGGAAACTGAGGCACAGAAAGCCCAGGGCCACTCGCTGGGCAGCGATCTACCTGATCACTGCAGGTAAAATTTCACCAATCTGTACAAAATCACAACCCAAAGGGAGAAAAGAAAGAAAAAGAACTAGAACTTTCTATCAGTAAAGGCCAAATAGTGGGGCATCAATACCAGGGCAAATGGGACCAGAAAAGTGCTATCAGCCTGACCCGGACCCTCACTGGACAGCAAACACACATGCTCAGGGAGTCTTTGGGGCCCAGGGACGACCGACGCCTGCAGGAACCAGCAAGGTGTGCCGGGGGGCCAGGCTCCCTGGGGACTCGGGACTCGTGTGGCCACTAGTGGGAGAAGCCACGGGTCCAGTGGGTGGGCCCGTCTGAAGGTGAATGTCAGCATGCCCAGAAGAGCCTCATCCCAGACCCCACTTTCAGGGTGGCTCCTCACAGCCATTCCTAAGCACTAATCCCCCATCTACACCCCCCCCCAGGCTGCCCCATTACCTCCCACCACTCTGTCCTTTCCCCCGATGCTGGAGCCAGGGTCTGGGGGTCCCCCGCCGCAGCCCCGACTCTCCCTCCCCTACCAAGCTGCCACCTCACCGCACCAGGGAGAGGAGCCCTGTTTCTACGGTCCTCACCAAGCGCCTGCAGGCTCCATCTACAGCTGGGCCCCCCTTCAAAGCCGACGATGTCCCTCTGGCCCGCAGTGCCCCCTTGCCCCTGCTGCGTGCCCAGCCCCTCTGCTCTCCAGGCCTCCCCTCCCCCTCGCCCTGCTCAGCACCACTTGCTCAGGGTACGGATCCCTGTCATCCCCTCCCAGGGCCCTGTATCTCCCTGCTGCTCTCAGAAAAGCTCACTAAATATCACGCCGGGCTGATCTTCCTACCAGAGCCCTTGCTCCCAGCCATTCTCCTGAGCCCAGCAGCGCCACACCCTTCTCCCCACTTCTCTGGGGGTCCCCATGCCCACCTTCCTCATCCCTTCTTCACCACCAACAGCCACACACAGTCGAGTACATGTCCTAAGGTTAGTGGTGCCCAGGGGACCCCCTCGCTCCCCTGAAGCAGAAACCCTGAGGTCGCCCTTCCCCCTCCCTGTGGGGTTTCCAGCTGCATCCACCTGGCCCCATCTCCAAAGGGCTTGGGTCAGGGGGGGCAGGAGCCCATGTAGCCTCACCTTGCTCATTCCATGTGTTCCCTGAAGCTTGGTGGGAGCGGGGTCGGCGGGGGGAGCTTTAAAGGCCAGACTGGGCTAAGCAGTATTTAGGAGCACAGGTGGACATGAGAGAGGCCGGGGTGGGGGGGGGGTGCCTCAGGGATCAGTCCCCCTACTCCAGGCTTGGGTGGGGGTGAGGCCCATGTGGCTGCACACACACAGGGGAGGGAGGAGCCACGGGAGGTCCTGGGGACCCAACCACAGGCCTGGAACCTTCTGTAGGCAGGAATCTAGATCCAGTTGTACATAAATAACCAAGAAAAAGCCAGAAACATCTCAAAGGCACAGGTTAAATAAAGGCCACATGTCAGAAAGGCAGGGCGGACCGCTCACAGCAGGCTGCGGAACATTCCAGGCCAGTGGCAAGAAACCCCCCAGCCCCTCTCCCCCAATGGAGCCCTCCCAGTGAGGCCCCCTCCCCCAGCTCCCTGGAGTGCAACGGGGAGCAGAGTCAGAGAGACAGGGAATGGACGGGGAGTCTGCTATCAGTCCCACCCTGCCCTGGGGTCTGAGGGCTGCACCCTGGAGACTGGCAGGGGGGCCGGACCTGGGCCAACAATGCCCCCTTTTTCAGAGAGAAGGCCTGGAGGCCAGGGCGGACATGGGGCTGGGGTGTCACAGAACTGGGATCACTGAGGGGGTTATGTGGTTTAGGAGTCCGGGCTTCTGGGTTCAAGAGGCGGGGGTCTGGTGGGGGCCTGGGGGCCACCACCGGGGAAGGATGCGGCACTTGGTGCAGGAGGTCACTGGGGCAGGACGGTGGGGGCGGCTGTGCCTGGAGATCCTGGACTGGGTGGCAGGAGTCTGCGGGGGGATGGAGAGGCGGGGGTCCCAAGGCCAGGGTATGGCTAGTATCAGAGGGCTGAGCGGTGGATGGGGGCCTGGCAGGGTCATAGGCCGGGGGCAAAGTGGGTCCCCGGGATCCTGTGGGGTGGCGGGTTCCTGGAGCGGTCTGGTGCCGCGGATGGCAGGGTCCGCGGATGGGGCGGTGGGGGAGGGGGGGTCCCAGGGCCCGGGGTGCGGGGCGCGGGGCGGCGGCCCACCTGTGCGCCGGGATGCGCTGCGCGCCGAGCCCCTTGCCCACCAGGAAGTGCACGTCGCAGAGCACCTCGTTGTTGAAGAGGAAGGCGAAGCGCTCCTTCAGCGTGGGCTTGGTGGCCTGCCAGTTGTAGACGGGCTCGCGCAGGAGCGCCGCCGCCCCCGGCTCCTCGGCCGCCCGCTCCCCGCCCGCC